GGTTGTAATTGACCTTCTGTATCGATAGAATAATTTTGAATGCAATAAGCGTAATCGATTAGATCATTAAGGACGTCGATTGAAGTTTCACGATTTATATAAAATTGCGTAAATGTCGATGGAATCCAGGAACGTCCCCCGAAGGTTTTGCTCCTCCTATAAGTCGTTGATTTTGAATGCAACGATGGGCTATTCATTTTTTTTGATAACACCGGTAAAATAAGATAATTATTTTGTTCCGATTGATATGAAGCATATCCCAAGTGAGTATTCTTCGATAATGTCTTTTGACGATCAGTTGCGTTGATAATCATAACTTGACTACTATTGTCTTCTAATTTAATCAATGCATTCGTGAGTAGTATTTGCTTCGGATATAAATATGTCGCTGGTTCAAATAAAGCTTCGGATATATTAATCATTGGTGATAATATGTTAATATTAATACATTTTTCCGAATATGGCGGCAGGGTAATTTCATCTGTTAATAGTACCGGTAATTGAAGACGTGAAGGTTTGATGAATGGTGCTGTTGTTAAAATGCGGCGATTCTTGTCAGTAAGAAAGATATGTTGTTGTGGTGAATCAATAATAACATTATTTTGAGTAATCCAGTCGTTTCCAAGTAATAGATCAGTAATTAAATTCGTTGCCACATCAGCTACAATTAAAGTTGTATATCCTTGTATTTTAATTTCAAGTTGAATTTCCCCAATAATGTTAATAGATGAGCAATTAGCTGACTTGTGTGATTTTGCTTTGTAAATAAAGTTCTTGTGGTAAATCTTTTTTAATAGTTGTTGATTGATGATGGTAACTGCAGATCCAGTATCGAGAATAGCTTGATGATGTTTATTGTTTACTTGAACATTTATGTAGATAGGAGTTGATAATGTTGTTGATGTATAATTTATTGTTGATGGATATTTATTGTTACTGGAATGACCACCATCGCGGGTTCCAGCTAATCGAAAACCTGTGGACAATCACGTATATTGTGATCTGGCTGTCCACACTTATAACATCCATATTGTTTTTTATAATAGCAATCAATTGTCCGGTGACTAATACGTTGACATATCGAACATGGACGACGTTGAAAATCCTGTTGTGTAGATGAATGAGATTTAACATTTGGTTGTTGATTTCGTTGTGAATAATTATTTGGTAAGTCATGTGGTTCTTGTCGACGTAATATAGGTCGTGGTCGCGAAGTTAAATTGCGGTCATATGAACTTGATGTTAATGGTGTTGAATTGCTTGATGATGATGTATATTGTTTCTTGTATTCATATGTTGTGTGTCGTGGTGGTGAATATGTAGATGTTGGTACCTTTTCGGAGTTGTTTCGTTTGCCTTGTAGTGTTGCTGATACTGCATTCGTGATGTATGGCATATAAGGTTGTGTTGTTGCTTGTTCGGGTGAATCTTCTTCTTGTAATTCCTGTTCATCCTTTGCAATTTTTAAAAATGCGTGAGTCGTTCGTGCTGATTCAGGTAATAATTTCATTTGTCGTTTAATTTGCGTTTTTAATGAATCTTTAATTCCATTTTGTAACCATAATATCATCATTTTCTGTGACATGGATGAATCATATTCACGACATAATTTAATAATAGCGTCATGATACGATGAAATCGTTTCATCTAATTTTTGTTTTCGTTCTTTTAATTGTTCAAATATTTTCGATGATGAATCGGATGTTGTAAATCTTTCTAATAATGCTGGTTTCAAAGTCTCCCATTGAGCTAATGACATGTTGTCTTCATACCAGCGCTTTGCTTCACCATCCAATTTCGCGGTGCACATACAATGTAGAATATCATCATTTGCGGTAATCATTTTTCCGATACGTTCAATATTATTGATAAATTGTAAAATTTTCGGTTCTTCACCACCATTGAATTTTCCTAAATTCGATAAACATTCTCGATAACATATCATCATCGCTGAATCATGTGCGTTGTTGGGCATTGTTTCAATTTGTTGACGTGTATCTTCAATAGTATTACTTGATGCGTCCAGAGTCAGTTTCTTAACAATTCTTTCTGATGTTCCTGTTAATAAGTCACCGTTTAATTCAGGACCAGTATCGGCGTTTCGTAAATTGTAAGCCGTTGTTGATAATTTAATAATTTATTTTCTTTTTCTGTGGCAGGTAATTCAAAATGAATTTCCTTTAATGAATTTCCAAATTTTAATTTCTTCAGTTCACTCCTAATTAGGAATGTCCTCTGGTAGGATTTTTATTATGATCAATAATAAAAATAATCGGTCACGGCACCAAATATTAGGGGTGAGATCTTCACCCTTCTGTTTATTGTGAAATCGAAGACTAAAAAAAAATATAACAAACAAAAAACGAAACCAGGAGAAAACAAACAGACATCTCTCTCTCTCCTCCATCGAGAGGACAACAAGAATATATATGTATATATATATATATAAATATATATATATATATGTATATGACGATAGATGTGGTGGATGACTAGAGATGAAAGAAGAGAAATGACTAGTGTGAGGGCAGGCCCGTAACAGAATCCAAATCCGGCATCATGGATACCGAGCCTGGGGATCCGAGTCGGATTGATGGGTATGAGTAGGTGCGTCTCAATAATCACTTCTACAGTAAGTTATAACTTATAAAATGCGCTTATTCTTTTATCTATTTTCATATGTCACAATTATCAATAGGAATTAATGTCAATCTGGTAAAATGGATTCAATGAGTTCTTTATTTAGGTATGTAGCAATAATCAATTGAAATGCAAGTTCAATATGATAAAATTAACTAATTTTTTTTCTATTTAGGTATATGTGAATAATTGATCTCATGGTAAGTTAAATCTTACACTATCAGTCACTTCTCTTGTTTTTTGTTTAGGATCGTCTCAACAAGAAGCAACGGCGATTCCCCTTTCGTCCGAATAAAGGAGAAAGGGCTGGCTCGTATTCTACTCACAACAAATCCAGGTAAATATGACACATACGATTTAGAGGTTTAGCATAGAAATGATGGCTAAGGATATGATTAAAAGTTAAGGATAGAAACTACTGTTAAGGATAGTATTTAGATCAAGGTTAGAATTAGGGGTTAAGGATAGAATTAAGGGTTAAGGTTAGAAATAAGGTTAAGGTTAGAAATAGTGGTTAAGGGTTGAACTAAGGGTTAATGATAGAAATTACGGTTAAGGTTAGAAATTAGGTTAGGGATAGAAATAAGGGGTTAAATATTAAATTAACGGCTGGATATAGTATTAGTGGCGAGTACTAGACTAATTGAGTGTGGCGGACTACATTTTGCCACTCTAGAACCATTTTAGGAAGAAATAGGAAAAAGTTCCAGCTAAAACCAGATTTTGCTTGAACCTTAAATGGTTCTGAAAATGATACCCAAATCTAGAACCTTAAAAGGTTCAGTATGACACCTTTTTTTCTGAGTAGCTTGTCTTTTGTTATAGACAGAACGGGAAAAGATTCATTTTTGACCTGAACGACAATTTTCCGCTTGAAATGAACATTTATCTCATCGATCGATTTTTTGTCTACTGCTGTTACAGGCATGTTCTCTAAAGAACATGTAGGTCAAGTGAGGCAAGATCTTCAACAGAAGTTTAACACTACTTCTGCGGACGGATCACCTTATTGTGCTACAACAACGCGTCGAGTTTCAGGTCTTTTTGGTATTTCAAATGCCTGTGTTGATCTAGCTATGCATCCCTTGCAACTAGCTGTGGTTAATAGATTGCTTACATCGACCTATCACTTCTAGGTAGGTTTTGAGAGGCTTCTCTCTGCTTCGAAGCCTACCATTTCGGCGACCGCAGCTTTCCGCTTAGAGCCCGGAGGTATACGACAAGGACTTCATCGTGATGATGTGGATTATCACACACGACCATCCGATTGGCCAATGTTAGTCGGCTGCTTTACTGCACTTACTAAAGTACATGCAAAAACTGGAGCAATTGTTTTCATTCCAAGCTCGAATACATGAGTTGATCAAGACAGAAGGGCTCTAGCGGACGAAACCGTGTGGGTGTGGGTGGAGTTTGTATTCATGTACATCCATACCTTCACCCACACCATTACCAACATTACTCCTTTTTATCAATTTTGTTCCTTTCGTTATTTGTTTTGAGAAATATAATTAGGTAGTTTAACGATGATTGTACTTGTTGCATTCTCGAAAACAATGGTTTATGATTAAAAGTTTTATTTTAAATACATCGAAAATATTCTTACATATTTTAACATAGCATATTTGTTACAACTTGATCAGAAAAATACTTTATATGAAAAATGAAAAACCATACAGCATCAAGTGAAATATAATTTTCAAAAAAATATACGACAAGACTAGAAGATATTTCGAGAATAGAACAGCAAATGAACACAAGAGCTCTACCCATTTTTAATTAAACCGACAGAATTTCAGTCAATATGAATATATGTTAAATGTATTTGGAAAAAGTTCCTTTATACCAGATTATTAATGAGGTAAGGGCAATTTTTAGCTGCCCCATTCGTGCCTTATGTTTAATATTGACACCAGTACTTTTAAAGTTATATTCGAGCAATCAAAACGAGACAGAAAATAGCAAGACGCTCCCCGTTTCTAACACAGTTAAATGACTTTGAAAAACAAAAGGATCGGTGTATCTCTAACATCTACTGCTAATTACAATACAAAATTAATTTTTATTAGTTTTCATCATAGAATCGATATCTTCCTTACAGTGTTTCAATTCAACCTCGAGGACATCTTTCATCGTTTCTGGTAGATGTTTAACAGAAGATTCAAACTTTCTTATATGAATATTACTTTGGTTTAGTGGTCTCACTGACTTTGCTAATTCTAACTCTTGTCTAAATTTATTGATAATATTTTCTCTTAATTTATTTAAAGCTTGAGTATATATTGGATTTATGTTTTTAACTTGTACGAGTTTTTCAAATAGATCGATTGGTGGATTTAATATATATTTATCAATATCCATATTTGAATATTTTGCAACTATTTCATCGGATACAATTTCATATCGACGCTCTTTGATTAATTCTACCTCATCAGAAATCTGTTTCGTACAATAATTACCCAATAAAGTACGTACTATACTTATGAATTCTAGTTTTTTTTCGGCTTCGTAAAAATTATTGATATAGACAAGTGCTTGAGTTTCATCTAATAAGCATTTTAATCGATGTTCAAGCATCGATGAGATTTGTGCTACATTTCCACATAGTTCATCTGGTGTATCAATATATACCGACACAAAATCCTTTGCTTTTTGTATTCGTTTTAAATTTCCGACAATGGTTTTTATTTTATCTATTTCGAAATGATTTCCTAACATTATTGTTTGAGTTTGAGTTTCTTCTATTAGGTTGACTAAACTTTTATTAAGCGACTGTTTATTGTTTTCAAAAAAATGTTCTCCTATATCACCAGATAACTTTAATGTTATCATTTCACTAGTGATTTGCTCATATTCGTAGTTTTGAATAGCATTTAATATTTTTTCAGAAATATCTTTAACTTTTATACAATATACGTTTCGATATTTAAGATATATATCGAAGTACTTTCCACCTTCTAAAATATTATCTAATTTACTTAATGCCTTTACAACTACTAACTTATCTTTCAACGAAATAGTTTGTTGTATGATACACAATTTTTCCATTTCATGTGATAATTCAGTCAGGTAATCTGATAATTCGTGTTGCCATTTTTGAAATAGTTTTTGATTTACAAAGCAAGAAAGAGTTCGAGAATGCTTTGTTTCAATTTCATAAACTTCTTGAAGACGGGTTGATAGTGTACCAATATTTTTATATATTTCGCCTGGGTTATTGGCTTGAAACTCTTTGATATGTTCAAAAGAAATTTCCATTTCATTTTCAACAAATTTACTATAATATCTAATACATTCTTCCAAGCCATTGAGTACAGACAGGCATTCGTTATTCGATAAAATAGGGAACTTTTTACAAGCATCCAAGTAATGAAATGCTTGTTCAACTTTATTGAATTCACAATTTTTATATTCTTGTTCCTTCCATTTTTCTATGGTAAATGAGTCTTTAATAGTAGAAAAAGTATTCTTTACGACACTTTCAAACCAAGAGTTAACTTCAACTAAGTAATGATTTATATCGGTAAAAATTATCTCGAATTCTTTCATTTTATTAATTTTTAGTATCATCTTATATGTAGAGTCGATTTCCTTGTAATCATCAAGGCCTAAAGTCATTTGCATGACAGAGTTTTTCATCTCTTTCATATGATCTATAAATTGTTCTTTAATATCGTTCATCACACTGGAGTATTCTCCAACGCGATAATTTTCTATCCATTGAGAACTCTTTAGACTTAGGAGACACTTTGTAATCTTATTATACTTCAGTTTTTCTTCTTGTTGAAATAAAACTCTCAATAATTGTTCAATATCTCTTTTTGAATTATGTAAGTATTCAATTATGTTTTCTAATGTAGCATAATAGGATCGGTTTGTTTTAAGTTCAATGATAGAAATTTTCCTAAGTGAATCTAATTCTAATAGGAATTGTTCGAATGCATGAAATGCATTTTCATTTTTAAATTCTGCATTAATTTTATTCAGAATCTGGTCGAAGTAGTTCAAAATTCTTGATAAAAGACTTTCATAAATATTATCGATTGCTTCTTTGGGGATGTGTGGTTGCAGAGCGAGTGTATCCTTAGCAATTTCTAACATATAAATACAACTGTTTAGACTATCAATATCATCTTTTTGTAATTTTTCTCGATCAAATATATGACTTAACCTATCTATTGAATCATTCAAATAGTTAAGAAAAAATTCTTTCAACTGAACATATTTTGCTCCCTCTCCGTAATCTAAATAATCTTGTAAAACAGTTAATGCTTCATGTAGCTTTGCAATATCCTTGGCACTCTCATCAAATTTATTCGCTAAAACTGAACTTTTGAAAGATTTAGTTACAGATTTGATTTTTTCAGCTATAATCTGACGAATACTTTTATATTTATCTTGATCAATATCTGAAAATGAACTTGAGACAAGTTTTATTTTATCCAGATATATTTTTACTAGTGGATCATTAATTTCTTTTTCTCTTACTTCTGTGGTTATGGCTTCGATCTGCTGGTTTACGTTTTGTATAAATGCAATGCTGTGAACTACCTCATTTCCTACGTGATCCTCTCTTAAGTCATCTGCTAACTTAGCATGATCAATGCATGTTTGATATTGTTTCAAATCTTCGTTGCACAAAATTGCTTCACTCAATAAGCAGTGGTTTAATTTTTGAATACTTTGTTCATATTCTTCAGAAAGATGTCTAATTACATATCGAACACAATCATTGCAAATTTGTCTGATGTATTCTTGCTCAAGTATATCATCTAAGCCTTTTAATTGACCAAGTTTATACTTAACGAGTAAATAATCGGAACGGTTAGTGGCGGATATGATACTTAACTGATGTCTTCTCACTTGTTCTTGCAGGATAGATTTTGATTTTTCTGTAATGAAAAATTGAAAAACTTCATTCGGATGGGTAATAGTATCAGACTCTACTAGTTCATGGAGAATCTCAAAAGCATCATTCTTCATTGGGTCTAAAGTTCGTGCTCCTTGTCTCGTTTTATTTATCATATCTTTAAACAACTGTCTGAGAGAAATATCTGATTTTCCATCTTCATTCAGTGTTTCTTCGGCATTTGTTAGTAATTTACATATTCCATGTATTTTATCGGAGGGGAATTTCGTAAAAATATATGAAAATGTTTTGAGATGATCTCCAATATTTGGAATCAATTTAATTAATGTATTAGCTAAATCTTTTATACCCTCAAGTTTGTCACCGATACTCTTATAACTAATTATGACAACTGGCTTAACACTTTTACTACCTTTTATTGCTTTAACAATACCAATTCCATTTGCAATATCTACTTCTGGTCCATTAGTATCCTCGAATCCTGGAGTATCACATATTATAATGCTTTCATTAGAATATCCACCAACATCTTTAAAATAAACCCTAACGGGTGTGATGCATCGAGTTTCAGATCGAGAATAGGGTGTAGTGATAATCTGTTTTAGATCTGGATTTCTTATTTCAACAGGATGAATATGATTTAATCCTGTTACTTTTACTTCCCTCAATTCAGATCCTCCAAAGAAATGAATTGTGGTTGATTTTCCTACTCCGGTTTTTCCAAGCAAAAGAATGACGTCTTCATCTTTTATCAAGCGTGCTCTTTCATTAATTTGGTCAAAAAGTCTAAACAATTCTGATATATTGAACGGTCTAATAAACTTCAAAATTTTTTCTAAAGTGCTAGAGGCTGATTTCCAATTGTGATCTTTTATATGAACGGATACTGTTCCTATAAGATTTTCTACCTGTGTACTTTGTATATTTTCGATATTTATTCGTTCGTTGAAAAGTTCAAATTCTTTTACAATTTCAGTCTCTATCTCATCAACTATTATCATGTTATTCTCTGAAATAATAATGGCCTCATCATTTAACTTCAAAGCAATAAAAAAGAGAAGATGAATGATGGATTTTTCTGTACATGGTGGCATCATACAGAAGTCATTGTATAAGTTTTTTACATGTTCTTTCATTATCGTATCTCCTTCTTGTCTTCCACAGAGGTTTTTATTATTATATGAATTGTCAGAAGCTCCCTCGCCATATGGAGAAATTTCACTACTCACACTTAACTTACGATTTTGTAAATCTTTGATCCTATTCATCAATACTTGAAGTTCTTCTAATGCTGATAACGAATTTCGTCGCCTTCTTACAGTTTCATGCTTTCCGTTGTCTGCAAGAGTCTCAATTTCTTGTTTCCTTTTTTTAATCTCGTCTTCTAACTCTTTCTCGTCGCTCATATCGTGTTCTAAAAGTCCTTTAATCAAGGTTGCTTTTAGTTCTTCTTGAGTATCGAATGACTGCAATGGCTCTAGTAATTTAATTTTATCGACTAATTCTAGAAGTTGTTCCAATGTCGACAACGATTCTTGCCGTCTGATTGCAGTTTTGTATCTTCCTTTCTTTTCAAGAGTATCAATTTCTTGCTTCTTT